ATATATATATATATATATATATATATATATATATATATATATATATATATATGTGTATACAGGGTGGATTGTTCATTTTCAAAATCAGTGGCTTTCTTTAAAAACTATGAGTCTCGAAAAAGAGTAATTTGTGTTTCAATTTATCTACATACTTTTGCTCTACCCTGTGTATATATACTTTTTCTAGCTATTATGTTATTATATATTTATGCAATCATGCATGCAAAAAAGACCATCATCGAATTGAACTGTTTTAAAAGAACTAAATAAGAAGAAGCGAATACTACTACTACTATTATTATTATTATTATTATTATTATTATTATTATTATTATTATTATTATTATTATTATTACTATTATTACTATTATTAATATTATTATTAATTATAATTTTCTTAAATATATAATTATACTCGCGTTATGCTCTAATTTCCATAACAAACTTCGTACAATTGAAATAACGAAGAGATGTTGACATTAAGAACATTATTACCGTCATTATATTTCTACTATTATTAATTATTTCTGTTTCTTTTTTTGTGATCAATCTGTATCGTTGTAATATAAAACGATACAAGATTAACTCTTTAACGTACCTGCGTTCGTGTTTAGTTTTAAATTAATTTTTCCTTTCGAAATAATAATAATAATGCAAAAAACGAACAAACAGGAAGTTATGTATTAAGAATGTGTGTGAGAGAGAGAGAGAGAGAATGTGTTTAAGCAATGCATGAAAATAATGCATCATCTGCAAACTAAGGGATATCAAAATCTTCTTTTTTTTCCTTTTTTTGTTTTGTTTTTGTATGTATGGAGATATTCCAATGATAAGTGGCAGGCACCACTTTTCCATCGAGCTTCGATATAATACTATATATGTATGTGTACATATATAGTATTATATAAGTAAAATCATCGTGATTTTGTTTTGCAATCAACTACCCCGGCCGGCCCTACCTCCCGCCATCGTACATAGTAATAATAGATATTATACTCGATCAGTAGAAATGATGTGTATGTGTATGTATATGTAAAAGATGAATGAATTGATTCTTTTTCTCTTTTCTTTATAAATTTCATTAATGCAATTTTGTGTTTTTCCTTCTTTAGAAGACGTGCAATTTGATTACAATAACTATATACTATGTCTGTTATGATGAATTTGCATGAATGAAACACGAATATAAAGTATGATGAATAGTATACGGTGCTATATATTACATTATTCTAAAACATATTTGATTTCTTAATAATTAATTTTCATTTTGTTTTTTTTTTCTTTCTTTCTTTCTTTTTTTAGTGGAGTTTATCGGTTAGGAGGCAAATGAATGGCACATATATATCATCCATCTAATTTCTCAATCACCCGTACGTTCGATCTTTGCATATCAAGAAAGTCTGTAAGAATTAGAAAAAGATCAAAAAACAGGAAATTACATATGTATACATAGTAAACATTTTGATACAAATATAAACATGATTGTTAGAACGAACATTTCGAGAGATAAATAATATTGTCGCTAAAATTTTACAATATTTACAATATATGTATGTAATGTTCACCTTTTAATTTAACGAATACAATTTGATGGTTAACAAAGGCAAATAATTGTAATGCTTAAGCTAAGCTTTGTCGTTTGAAAAAAAAACAAAAACAAAAAAGAAAAAAAGAAAAAAGGAATAACCGATATGTTTAGACCAATTAGAAAATGAAAAAAGTATATACGTACTGTAAGCGTAAAAACCAATCAATGAACCAATCAATGAACCAATCAATCAAGCAATTAATTCATTCTTAATGAAAGTAACAACATTTTTATTGTGAACAAGAAAAACCGCATCTCTAATTTTGTTCTTTATTATAATATTATGTAAACTTGTACATATATACACATACATGTGCATGTAAGTAGCTACCAAAGTTCTTGAAATGTTTTTTTTTTGTTTTCTTGCAAAAATATTTCACGTCGATCTCATCGTAATCATATTCACACACAGCAGATGATGATGATGATGATGATGATTAATTATTAATAACGGAAATAAAAGAGCGCATTTTTTTGTCTTGTACGTGATCACTGTATGATTGATTTTAAACAATAAGAAAGAATGATTAATATTTATTTATTATTATATTACGCGTATATAATATATGTGTCGAAAGAAAAAGAGATGTATTAAAAAGAAAAAAAAACACTTACACACACACACACACACACATACAAAACGTAAAGAAAAATTAAGTTTAAAAGAGATAGAGTCGTGTTATAGAATAATTATATGAAATAAATAATATAAATAAAATTCTCACGATCTATAGCTGAGCCTAATAGTATAATAATAATGTGTATAAACGTGAATATGCCATTTGCACGAATACGTAAACAAATCTATATAAATGTAATATATATATATATATATTAGTTCCCCGCAAAGAGAAAAAAGAAATAATATAAAAATGAGAATAACCAACTTGGAGTGTTCGCGTGCTTTTTGTGTAAAAGTCTCTCATCATGTTGTTATATATGTAATCCGAAATTGTATACTGTTTCCTGAACAAAATTGTTATCTATGGATTATACTACTTTTATCATATCATTGTTGTGAATAGATTATTGTTATAAAGACACATTGTGCGTTGCATTATTGATCTCATATTCAGTCACGCATGCGCATGCAACGTTACAGTTCGACGGCGGCTGCGCAAGCGCATGCGCATACGACGTTACAGCTGTCATTTGCCAGCCAGCCTTCGCAGCAGTCGGTCACGCGCGCAGAGATTTTCTCTCACGTGGGAGCTTTGATGTGTATGCGCTTGCAACATGACAGCACGACGGCGATTGTATTTATGAACGTATCTATGTGCTACAGTAGGTACTGACAAGAAAAATGTATGTATTAATATGAATTAATGTCTTCTTTGTAGAAATTTCCTGTGAATTATTATGCGAATAGAATGCAACTGCAGTGAGAAAAAATAATCTATACAATAATAAGTTTAGAGGTAAAAATAATAATTTTGCTTAAAGAAGACGTAAATAATATAATACTATATAATACATTTATTTTTATCAATTAAAAAGTAATATACGTTGCATTTATTTTTTTAATCATTTAACAAAAATAAATTATACTTATCGACTGATAAAATATGTGCCGCCATCTAGCGTTACTAGCTATTACTTCATTTACCGGTAGGTAAATATATGTGCTGCCATCTAGCGGTGCTAGCTATTATCAATGAGCATTGATTGAACTTTTCGTAGACTCATGCATTGACTAATTTCTTCGTAGCTCATTGATTTTCATAAATCGAAAAAATGTTTTTCCTGCATTCGAACATTGACTGAACTTTTCATAGACTCATGCATTGATTAAATTTTTATTACACTCGTGCATTGAATAATTTTTGATATCATATTTAATGATGAAAATCTTCAAAGATAATTAGATGAAAATTTGAAAGAAATTCAAACATATGCATTGAAATGTTCATTCATATGTAAATATAAATGTTATTTTCTCTTTCTTTCTTTCTTTTTTTTTTACCTTCTTTTATAATGATTTTTCTTATTTTCCCGTTTTT